AAACTAGTCGACTCAGGCTTCATCACTGCCAGTAATCCGGGTGCCGCTTAATATATAGCCTCCAGATGAACTCATCTGCATATGTGGATGAGTTCTTGATGGAAGAACCTGCAAGTAAAAACTGGTATTTTACTAAAACACAACTGAAAAAATACCGAGCCATTTTCAGAAAATTAAAAGGGTGGAGCAAAAACCTGATATTCGCGTAACCAAGGTTCCGAAATTTGCAGGCCAATGGCCATTTTCTCAGTCTGCAGGTTGTGCATGCACGAGACCAGCGGCTGCATCAGAAAAATAAAACAATAAAACTTTTTCATTTTTCTTTTAGTTAATAGATATAAGGATTAAATGGAGAAAACCCCGTTAATCACTAGCTACGCAAAACTCTGCTCAACATTTATTGTTTTTGTGTCGGGCATCAAGTTGAAAAATAAAAGTCATGAGATCTGAATTAAAAGTTGAGGCAAAATTAAATGCAAAGGATGTTAATAATAATACCTGCAAATACTGATGATAGATAACAAATGGAGCCGAGTATGCAAGTAACGGGACAAGTTCTTTAACAATGTCCCAAGCATCCAGATCTGGAGCGGCTATTATTAAACTGACAAAAAAAAAAGGAAGAAAGAAAAGGATACAGAAGTTAGAATATTCAACTTCAAACATTATTGCAAAATATTATTAATATAATTCAGGGCTGAATGAAAAGTAATCACCTAGAAAAGCCATTTTCTTTCCACGAATTTATAGCATCAACAGTTGCTTTCTCACCAGCCTTGATATTTTTAGTGGGTTTTGGGGAAGCAGTTACATCATTTGTTGTATCGATATTCACATTGCTATCTTCTTCCATAGGAACTTCTTTCTGAAAGTGATGGGAAAAATAAGAGTGCAAACTAAAACAATGAAACAAAAATAGACAAGAGATGATAACAAGTCCACACACATTTTCTTGTTTTCCAATATTATTGGCACCTTCAAGCTGGTGAATGGGTGCTGACGAGTCTCTCTGTGCCGATTTTAATTCAGCCAGCGATGCATGTACAATCCTGAGTTTACAAATCATCAGCACATAGGTTTTACTTCAATAAACTGAATAATATCAGAATATTTGNCAAAAAAAAAAAAAAAAAAAACCTTTTGCATGTTTCGTCACTGAAATTGAACATTCGCACAATACTAATAGGATATGAAGTGGATCCGCAAAACGTATTACATATGTAGCCCGTTCCTGGGATTAGAACAAAGGTTCAACTTAGTAATAAGTTAATCAAGTCAAAGAATGTTGCGAATAGTTCAATTCGCATGACATGGCAACACAAGCATATAGTAGACATGTGAATGCATATCATTAATTTTAACCAAATTTTCTCATACACACTTTTGAAGATGGTTGATCACGCTCCATTTTTACCTCTAGAAATGTTAAACAAACTGACAACTTCACTGTTTCTACATTTTATACAGTTTTCACGTACAATATAAAAAATATATACCTCCCAAGCGCTCGGCTACAGCACCCGTAACTAAACCATCGAGCATATCCAATACAAGTACATCCGAATGCGCGGTAACGTTAGCCAACGAGAGCATAAGAGACAGTGTGTCCACCCGCAAAAACCTGCAAAACGCAGATGGTTATGTGACTAAATTTTCCTATTAAAGCACACAAAATATACTCTCAAGGAAAGTTGAGAGAGAGAGAGAGAGAGAGATGCATTTTGGTTACTCATTCGAAGATCGCATCTTTACATAATGGAGGAGAACGCAGTAATCAATCTATGAAAAGAGACTAGATAATTACCCAATTTTGTCAGCGTGTTTTTTGAAGTATGCTTCACATATACTGAAAAGAAAAGACCAGAAACATTAGTCAAAGGATCTTAATATTCATTAATAGTATTATATAACATTTTCTTTTTCGAATGCACGAGTTAAACAAATAAAATTGGGATGTGGACCATAGTCGAGTTTAAATGAGTATCCAGTCCCTCCCATATCATAGGTCTAATCCAAAATGCTGGATTGAAAAAGTGGAGTAGAACTTAGAAGCTTGTATTTCCAAAGGAAGTAGACTAGTAAATTTGGACTGTCGGAAAATTGAAGTTAGAAAAGTAAAAATAAATCAAAATTGTGTTTGGCATAGTTGATTCCAGTAATTTCATATCATACACAAGTAAAACAAGTACAAAATTTTCATAATATAGAACCAAAGATAACAATGTTTTTGACTCAATTTTAATGATATATTTTTTCTTAATAAAGATCATACTAAGAACTATGATCCCAATTAAAGAAGGTAAGAGACAAAGGGTAACCTTCGTGCAAACGGGCGTCTCACAAGTACTCTTGGAGCATATTTTTTCTGCTTTTTTATCCTGTACTTCTCCTACAAACATAAAGATATTCAGTTTTTATTCTCATGAGTTTGTCATTCTTAATTAAAATAAGTCAATACATTGACTCATGTACCTGTGAAAATGCTGTTTTCTTTTCAAACGTTGCACTGTTTGCAATAAGGGCCTCAACTATTTCATCTCCAGTTGCTCCCTTTCTGCAAACATAAATGAACTGTCAAACACAACGTATACACACAAAATGTGCTTTTGTATGAGGTTAAAACTGATTGATGATTGGAAGTATCATGAAAAAAAACAAAGGAACAATTATTATTTAGTCCAATTCCTACAAAATTATTCGCCGCAAACTCCAACAAAAACAAATCATTGATATATAGTCCTTTCCACACCTAATATATACTTATTCTACTTGGACCCTAAAGTTATTAATAGATACCCCCAAATTCTCATCTGATCATATTCAATTCGTATCTGATTATTTAATCCATGCCTTATAATATCAGGTGCAATTTTGAGTTGTCTTTACTTTGGACTAAATGACCAAAAAAAAAAATAGTCGTACAAATGCAAAATTATATCCTTTTAACCAAGATTCCTGAAATTCAAAGAAGTGCTTGATCAAGTGCTTCATCACCTAATAGATCATTTTTTCACTCAACTAACCCCACACCACACTGCTTCCTCTTCATTAACTAGAAGAATACAGCAACATAAAACAAAAGCTGAATATTTTTTAACAGTAACATCCATGTGTATAAAATTACTCAAAGAGAAGACACAGAGGCATTTCGAAATCAAAGACACAAAATCGAGTTGTGAAGAACATATCATATTAGATGCACAATGTATAGTTGTAACTTAAACAACAATAACCTTACCTCCGCATGTCATCTATGTCTTCGCCCGTAAGACTCTGGGCGGTATTATTATCAACTAATGCACGATTATCTCGGCACTCCTCCATAATTTGGCAATCTGTTTTCTCTTCACGATTATTAACTGGTAAGAGAAATTCCACAAATACATTAGCATAACAAATATGCCACAAAGTGCTTTAGCAACTAAATGACATCTTATAGGATGAAATGCAGAATTTCAACTTAAACAAACGCATAGGTTCACAATGCGAGAACACTACTAACTTTTCATATAGCTTGATTCTCACCCTTGAATTAGTTTGACCTTTTGATTGTTTCAATGCACAAGAATCAGGCAGTACAATCAAGCAATAGAATAAACATTGGCCTCTGGTTGATTTGACTGAAAAGTTTGAAACCACTTCTTTATTTATTTGATCAACTCATTTTATTTCTTTGTGCTTGGTCTAGCTTGAGAAATTAGCTGATTTATTCATTTCCTTTTGTGCATTGCCTTGTAATAACCTCTAGATAAAGTGAAATTATTTTACAATTGAGCCTAGCAAGAACTGAGAGACGAATAAAATAGCATACCCAATTAACAGTACATAATTTTCTTAATTCATATTCATTCAATGGGTGTCAATTGGGACCCAACTAAAACAATATTGATGCGTTTCAACCCATGCCTGATAAGTTCATGAGTTTAACTGGTTGAACCCACATCATGAGACAATAAAAAAGAGTCAAGCTATCATCACCCATTTAACTGATGGAACTGGACAGTGGATCTAAAAGAAAAAACTATACAAAAACTTAAATGGAACTGGACAGTGGATCTAAAAGAAAAAAAAANCTATACAAAAAATTTAATACGGAAGACATGTCCAAACTTAAATGCTAAAAACTCCATATTTATTATTTATTATGTTTCTGATTTACAATATAGATCTAGAGTTTATGGTATAACTAATTTATTTGAATAATGCGTCATGTTGACCGAACTCAAACAAAAATCAAGTTTATTTAGCCAATAATATTCAAATATTGTAAGTTTGATAACCGAGTTGAGTCTGGGTTATCATTGAATAAATAGAAACTTGCTCCAGTTTCGAAATTCTGATGCAAGCAGATAAACAACATAAAACTAATCGTACAGCAAAAATATGAAATACTGATAACTTTATTACCCTTATTTGCATTGTGCAGTGAAATAACTTATATCATCTGCATTTCCTATTATGAACTTGAAACAAGTTGACCCAAGTCGAAAATAACACTTATTTCTTCTTTTTCTTCCCCTATTTAACCAAATTCAAAGCTATCAAAAGATATCACAAACCTTCTGCCGATGGAACAACCCGAGAGAGAAAGGGACCATCCTCTCCAACCTCCACCTGGAACGTTGATCCGAACCGGCATCCAATCAAAGGCTGTAGAGAATAATTCTTGTTCCCAATCTTAATTTTCCTAAAAACAAACAAGAAATTTTGGAGTAACTAACAAAATGAACTAGAAAATTACTATATATGGTATAAACCCTGAACGCGCAAAATAACGTGAATGTGTAAGGAGATTACGAGCCAGCTGTCAGGCGAGCAAAAAGCAGACGATCGCCATCGTTAATGTCGAGCAGCACACTGCAGCCTTCCCAAGTGATTTTAGGGTTTTTATTACTGCTCGAGGTTTCTTCTGAACTCTTAATCGACATGCTCGATACGTTAGTTTTACTGATCGCTTTTGAGAGGAGGGATGAATTTTGGAAGAATTACAGGATAAATCAGATTGGATTTTCAATAAAACCAAAGCAGTTGTGAACAGAAAAATTCAAACAAAAACCCTAGCAAAGAGAGGGAGGGGATGGTGCAGCAAGACTGCAAGACGACGACGTAACGTGAATGGGCTTAACCAGGAATTCAATTAAAAAAAGGGCCAACGTACGGGCTGGCAGCGGCCCATTAAAAACCCAATTCCAGGCTGGATAAGAACGGACTGGCTCGCAGCTAACTTGGGCCAAATGCACAGGACACTCTGTCTTTTTTTTTTTTCTTTTTCCGACACTCTCTGTCTATTTTAAATAAATAAAATTACAATTATTTCCAAATCACACAAAAAAAAGTGAATTTAACCTATTTATTACTCATTTGTAGCAGATTCTTACTTCTATTTTACCCAAATTTGGTTTTGAGGGGATAAAAGGACGCTCTTTATATCTATTTTAAATAATTTATTAGTGTAAAATGGATTTTTACTTTTATCTTTACCTAATTTTGGCCTCGACCGAGCTTATATAATCTTAACCAAACCCATTGCTTTAGTAGGGATGGCCGACCAATGGCACCAACCCGTTTTGGCATCTTTTCGCCTCCAACAACCCATTCCTTGGCTTATGAGTCTTGGATTTGGATTCTAATATAATGTGTGCTCTAATGCGATCGCATAACATAATAGCATTATATGATCGATTTATACATTATCGGATCACACCATTTGGAGTGCAAAATGTATTTGAATGTCTTATACAAACAAAGAAGCGAAAGGTACTTCAGTTCCAAAGTCAAATTTAAAACCTTTCGTAAAGGTGATCTCGTGTTAAAGCAAGTGAAGGAGGCTGACCCATGACCCCTTATGCCTAAATGGGAAGACCATTGTATAATCAACGGAAGTTCGAATTGTAGTGCCTATCGATTGGAATAATTGAAGGAGACGCGATTCTGACAAGTCATGGAATGTTGTCTTTAACTAGGACTAATTTAAATACTAATACTCTTTAGTTTAATGCATAGTCCAAGATACAATATTATAATGGTTATTTTCAATTTCAAAGTCACATAAAGCAAATATTATGTGTTCTACTTTATCATACATTAATTGGCCTCATACACTAACATACTTTAATTTGTGTCATAGTACGAAAAAACACAAATACTTATGTGAGTTGGCCTAATCGATTTGTTTTCAACAAAAAATGCATAATTATTCTATAAAATATTATACTTTTATTTATGTAATTTTTTAAATTATGACATTTCAATTTAAAAATATATATGCATATATGTGAATACTGCCTAGCTATTAAACCTAGCTAACTTTAGTGTAACAATGATTATGATTCTATAGACATACTATTGCATACAAAAATACACAATCTTATTCTACCAAGTACCAACAATAGTACCCAAAAAAGATTGAGCATTCCCTCCATCCAAAACAGCAACAACACAACAAAAGCCTCTTTATTACATCAATGTCACGAAAAATATCACAGTTTTAGTCCACTAGTTTATAGTATTTTTTATTTTTACCCAATAACTTATTGAGGTTTGAAATTGGTCTAATAATTATTAAATTTTACTCAATTTAAATTTAAGAATTATTAGACCAATTTTGGACCAAATAACTACCAAACTTCGGTGTTCGGATAGAAATTGGACCAAGTTGGCTAAATTTGAAGAATTAATGGACCAATTTAGAATTCCAACAAGTTATTGGACCAAAATAGAAACACGCTAAAGTATTAGTGGACCTAAACTGCGAATTTTCCTCAATCTCACTCAAGCCAAACTCTTCTTCGAAAAAATCCCTCCAATAAAGGGAATGAGTGGCTTATTCTTCTTCTTCTTGACCGACGGGTGCCTCCCGAGCACGGCCGCCTCTCCGGACGGCGGCGGCACCACCACGTGAACCACCGGCAAACGATTCGCGAATGACACGCATTTCTTCTCAACATGACTTCCATGGGTCCCACGGTCATTACTAGGCACGACGAGCATTGTCTCGGTTTTCACTCGCTCGTTCACAAATTCCTCAACGTACTTGAGGTCCTCTGCCTCCTCGGGATGCAGAGTGCGGGCCTTCAACTTCTCGAGCTCTCGTTTGGTTTGCTCGAGTTCTGCTTGTAATGAGGAGAGGGAACGAGCCATGTGGACCGTCTCCTCCCGAGCTTTTTTGAGGCTTTGTTTCGTCCCCTCGAGCTCATACGCGACCGTACCATGGTCGTACTTGGTCCTCGCCTTGTCTTCCATCTATTTTAGCTAACATTTCTTTTTTAGTTGCTAATTTGTGTAAGGAAAATCAACAATGGCTCGCCAACACATAAACTAACTCACGGATCTGCTCCCCTACCCACAGTGGACAGGGAATTAATATGTCCACCGCTTATGTGACATGTACACATTGAGCATATTAATTCTCTCCCACTGTTTATGCCCAATGTGTACATGCCACATAAGCAGTTGACATATTAATTCTCTGCCCACCGTGGGTAGGGGAGCAGATTCCAACTTACTCATACTTAATAAAACATGTTATTCAAGTTATTCCCTACTAATAATAACTTGCACTTAATAGTTTTTGATGATTAAATAAATGTACTCGTCAATATAAGCACCCTATATATAAGAGACTACAAACATAATTTTTCCCGTGGATAAATATTTTCAAATTGATTAATAGTTGGCCACAACTTTTTTTGTTAAAAAAACTCACTATTTATCAAATTTTATTTTCTCCTTAATTTTATCAGCATAATTAATTGATAAAAATAAATTATTTTTTAACAAAATTCACTACACATTCATTCACATATTTTTCAATACCAATTAATCACATTTATTATTTATCATTTTCCAATTATGTCAACTTTTATCATTAACTTTTTTCTTATATCCACTCACAATCTCAAAAACATTTCATTCTTCCACCGAGAAAATATTTTCCAACTCTTTAACTCCTTTTTTTTCCTATTCAAACAATATTCTTTAAAATAATCTATATCCAATCCCACTTAATTATATTGCACAATTATTTAGCTACTTTTTTTTTTCTGTTGTTTTTTTACTCTCCACATTAATTAGAATTAATTATGTAAACTACTTTTTTCTCACCTCTTTGAGTTTGTTGGCATAGACCTCGCCGGCGAGAACCCTCTCGCCGAACAGCATCACCGCCTCTTTGACTGACCGGAAAGGCGCACTCGTGTCAATCTCCGCCCTATTCGCCGCCATTTAGCTTAGCTAACTCCTCCGCCGTTTATTTTCTATCTCAATATAAATGTTGTGCAGTAATCAATGGAAATATATATATGCGTGTGTGGAAATTAAAAGAAAAAAAAATTGAGATTATGTTTGGTTGAGTGAAGTTAGTTTAGTAGACAAGCGGAGGTTCGTTTCTTGGCTTCCACTTCAATAAAATTCCGTGTAGTTGTATTTATGTCTATTTAGTATTTACTTATTTATTTACTTTTGCTTTTCATTTTTTTTAATGGGAATTTATAGATAAAACGAAATCCTAATTTAAACGGGCTATTGATATAAACACTTAACCCTAACATTATTTGTTTCGAATTTCGAGCTAAACAAGCTAAATGAGACCGCACTTAAACACGCCAACATATTTCTTTTATAAATATACATATTAAAAATGTCAATTTTTGAAATATAACATAAATAAAAATATAATATTTAATAGTATTGTGCATTTTTGCTCAAAAAGTATAATGAGTCAACTCTAGTATCAATTTGACTGTAATTTTAGAAAAATATATGGTATAAAATGGAGGGTAAAATATACGGTATAGATAAAATTTTAGAATTTACAGAAGGTATGAGATTGTGACTTGTATCCTTCAGTAGTTATGCTTTATAACAAACACCAAAGGCAAAGTACTTGTCTTTTGATGGGGACATTAAGGTTTTTAACAAATATTCGAACCGTTGTGGAGAATGTAACATTTCGCCTTACATGTAAATATAATATGTGCGTTCAAAACCTTTGTTTGTTGTAGGGTTGAAATAGATGTGCCTAATATATTACATGAAAGTGATTATATATGATATTAGAAAATACTAATGGATGATTGGAAATGACTATCTTATTGAAGTATTAATGAATATTTTTGTTGTGGTAACAGCCCAAGATCATAGTCATAATTGAGAGAATACAAGTTTCTATTACTCACAAGAATAAAAACAAGAGATTTACAAACTCTAAAAAAACTCTCAAACTCTCCACAACTCTACGTGGTTGTGTTTCAATCCTCTCAAGGTCGATTGATCACACTCTAGGATGATTTAAATGAATGAAATGAACAGCCATACAAGCAAGCACACCATTGTTGACAAATGACGTGTGAAAGAAGAAGGTTGGTGGAGGCATCCATTAAAGACTTTTTCATTTGTGTGTTGCAGCTTGCATCGAACTTTCAATTTCGACACTATTTATCATGTAGATGTGCCCAAATTTTTGTTTGAGGCAGTTACTGTTAGGCGGGTCGATCATTCATAATTTTGTAACGAAATATGCCGACTAACATTATGAAACGCCATTACTTTTGTTTATATTTTTTTAGAGTAACATTTCAATTTGAAAATATGCATATTTGTAGAAAAAATAATACTTGCTACCCGTTAAGTCAGCCTAAAAATAGCTTAGTAGCTATATTGCTGCATAACTTTCAAAACAGAGATGCTTTTAATTCTCAATCAAGGTATCCAAACATTCAAGCCACAAATAACAGGTTACACCACAAGATGCTTTTCATTTTCGATCATTTGTGCAAAATGGGGCTAATCAACCGTTGCATACATAATAATTTACCCCACAGCCATTAATCATGGAAGTTGCAACTTCTGTACATTATCGGAATATAAGGGGACCTTATCTCTTACGAAAATTCTCAAAGGGAATTGACGATTATGGTGTTGGTAGTGTTGATGATGATGACGATTAATCTTTACTTTAGGAAGGGGCAAAGATGAGCTGATAGCAGACATCACAATATGCTGCTGTGTGTGTGGTTGAGGTGAGAATTGTTGTTGATTTGAGCCTAGCAAATGAGGGAAAAGAGCTTGAGCACAGTTCAAAGGCGAGCCCGTGTTTCCATTTTTCCAGTCAGGTAAGTTCACGGGCCCCACTCCTCCGCTATTATACTGGGCGGGCCAGCCCATTGGGCCCGGGAAACTGCCGTTAACTGTGCTGCTACTGCTAAGATATTGAGGGAGTTGTACCTGTAATATTATAACTCATCATATGTTGTTTATAGTGAGCCTGTATTTAATTAGTACTTTTAGTAGTTTAGTTACAGTATCAATTATTCGTTTGGAGCTTAGAGTCGAGAGTTTTCGTACATATCTTTGTCAAGAGTTTTCAAGGAAAAGCTCACCTGTTGTGTTGTTAAACCCGAATACTTTTGTGATTGCTGCACATATGGTGGTGCATGAAATTGTTTATGAGCCTCGTGAACGTGTTCTTTGTTTACATCTGAATAAGAAGTCGTGCCCAATGATAAAAAGTGGAAATCCTGGGAAAAAAAATGTAGATAATTACAGAAGATTACGGCTATACAAAATAATAACCCTCAAAAGAAAGCTTGTGATACATGTATAGGGAGGTATCCGCATTTTTTTCAACTAATTGCCGAGGCAGTTTTCGAAAATTTAAAGAAGCATTCCAAAGAGTAATTTAGATGAAGTCACCTCTTTAGCAGAAGAACATAAGGCAGAAGTTTCTCCAGCCAGCTGCCGATCTTTTATAAACATCTTATTATTCAAAAAATCATCGTGTTCGATTTTGGCTAGCTCCTTGTTGGTGGGCCCCACATCATTCATTCTACCGTTCAATCCCGTCACGTGGTGGGCCCCTCCAGAGGTCGATAAATTAGTAAAATTTGCGAGTGAACCTTCTCTATTCTCCGATATTTGCAAGACTTTAATCAGACGGCTAATGTAGACATGTGCAGAAGATCTTTTCCATGACTTTTCAGATTGAACTGTGTTTCGGGTACACTGGTTAAAGAGCAACAGAAAGGTTTTGGTGAGGATGACCTTTCGTAAATGATATTTCCAATTTAATCTTGAAAAGCCAAAAAAAAAGGCGTACCTTTTCACTATTTGTGCTCTCAAGCCAGATGGGGACTCTGTTAGTGAATAATATTGAATCAATATAAATACACGAGAGATGCGTACAGAATTCTTTATGGACTAATTTTACCGCAAGGAAGATCCATTTGTGTTCCAACTTCGAGTTCTTGTTGGTGACTGAAATGAACCTATGTTTTCAAAACCAAAGGTCATATTGTCTCATAAATACTTCAAATAAGAAAATCATAAATCTAGCCTGTGATGAAAATGGCAGATATAATTAAATAAAAAACCTTACATTTGCCATATTTCTTGCCATACTGAAGTCCAGAAACTGTAGCCTGGAAAAAGAAACAAAAATGAAAAAGATGATATTAGGTATATAAGTAAACTAAGAGTTACAGTTCTGTAGAGCACAATTCTTGAATAATACCTGTCCGTGGTCAATTAATTTTTCACTCGATACTTGCGGTCTGCCATTTGATCCAAAACCGACAAAATTTAGAACCAATAAGATATAAATATCGAAGACAGCACTATGGAATTTGTGACCCACCTTGAAGTCTGCTTGCTAGACGAAAACTCTGGCATTTTAGCCTCTTTGAAAGATTGTAATTCGACAAGTTTTCCTTTCGAACCAGACAAATTCGGAGTATCTATTATTAAAAGAAGTGGCATTTTAGAATGAAAGAATACAAATGGAAGCAAATAATGAGTCACAATACATAACAAAGAGTATTGCAAATAATTATTGTACTTGTAAAACAGACAAGACCAGACATTTGCAATTAGATAGCTGATCTTTCTTTACACATTTCTAACAAGGCTCGACATTAGCGGCTATTTTGCAATTACTTGAATAACAAAAACATACCTTCAACTGCATCTGCATCTTCGCCATTCAACAATTTCGAGTTAGTTGGATCATCACTGGACACTGGCCGATTAGCTTTATTTGTATCAGAAAACATAGTGGCTAAAGCATACAAGGTTTCAGCTACTTCTTCTTCATCTTTCGTAAAGTGCCCCTGCTTTTTTCCATTCATCACATGAAGAATGCTCAATTGGATTTGTAATCCATGCGTTTGCTTAAAAAAATGACATGATATACGTTTAAATGTTCCATAAATTGCAAATTTTTAACCTTTTTCAGCTTGGATTCCTTCCCGCCGTCTTTTTTGAATGTGTTGGCTGTGTTGGCTTTATGAGACGCATAACGCTGTTTCTTCGAAATTGACAAATATGACGTAATTGATTCACCGACCCGCTTTGTTATGGCTGCAAAATCAGGAAAAAAAAAAAAGGATTGAATTGAACACCTCTACAGATTAATTACGTCACAAGTACACTTTAACAACTAATGTACTGTTGCTAAAAAAGACGACAAGAAAGCCACTCGAAATGTGGAGAAATAATTCACTTGGAACTGAAAGAGAACCAAAGAGAAAGAAAAAGGAAAAAAGAGTGGAAGATCACTCAGTCAATTTCTGTTAATAATTTACAATTTCAATTTACATTTCTTAATATTGAGCATACTATTTTTTTTTTAAAAAAAATTATCATCAAACTGAAGTGTCAAAGTAACCGCCACCATGAACAATTTGTCACAGTATTCTTAGAGTACATGCTTGGAAAAGGTGAAAAAGCAGCTGATTAGAGAGAGAGAGAGAGAGAGAGAGAGAGAGAGAGAAAGAGAGAGAGAGATGAGAGAGAGAGAGAGAGATNAAGAAAAAAAAAAAAAAAACAAAATATATATATATAAAAAAAATCTCCTTAACTCACTCTAGAAACTCGTTTCTGCAAATTGACAATGTTGAAATACGAAAATTTTACCGTTTTTGGTAACTTGTATTTGTTGCTGTTACTTGTACTCGGCTGAGGTTCATCTTCACTGTTAAATCCCACAGAACCCATTCACACTCTGCACCTCTGTAAAAATTCACTGTCAAAACAGAGGAGAAAAATCTGTGAAAAAACAGGAGACAACTTCAAAGGGAAAATGATAACACAACAGACCACAGGAAAGGGATTGGGAGAAAAAGAGGGAAAAAAGAAGAATATATCATGACACGTAGCTTTGCAAGGAACCCAAACAGTATCCACACACCAATATTATAATGAACCGAACGAAATAAAAAACCCGGATAAAGACAGCAGCTCACAAGGGATGACCTGTGTTAGAGTGTAGCACCGCAAGGATCTTTTCGTAATTTCGCTACACAAAATAGTAAATACTAAGAATAAAATGCTTTAATGCAAAACCGACTGGACAAACGATGATCTTCCACAAGCCTAAGTAAACTGGATTCAGAAATTCAACATCACTCCTGAAAAAATCATTGAATTTTGGGATTTTTCATGAAGAGAAAGGATCTTTTCGTAATTTTGCCTACATACACTACGTACTGATGTGAACCCAATTGAACATGCCAAGAAAAAATGGATTCAGATATTCAACATCACTCTGTTAGAAAAGGAAAAACAAAAAAAAAAAAACTGTGAATTCTGGGATTTTTCATGAAGAGAAAAAGAAAACGAAGATTTGGATGATCATGGGGGTTTTATTTTCATAACCGGGCCAACGAGCTTTTTCAGTTATGCTGTGTGATGAATTGAAGATCGGAGACTGATGAGACGAGGAACGAAAATTTGCTGAGAAAAAAAGAGTGAGGAGAAAAAAGAAAAGTGAAAGCGGTCCCTTTTTATGTGGGGGATATGTTCAGAGAAGAGAATCAGGTTCTTCTTCACACGCAATAGAAGGCTCATTTACTGAGAGAGCCTTTCTCTCTCTCACACACACACACACACTCGCACACACTATGCTTTCTCGTTTACATACTTGAGATGGAAAATGCAAAAGAATTCATGGGTGATAATTAGGAAATACAGGAGACAGAGGAAAAGGCAACATAAATAGAATTGGAATCTCAATCATGGCAGCCAAAAAGAGAAAAAAACAGCTAAATATCTTTCTCCTTTTTGAAATGCATCGAAACTTGATCCAAATTTGACAAAAAATTAATTACATCTAAAGCTTTAAAGTAAAATCAACAATGGCAATCACAAAACCCAAAAACTGATTAAAGAAAAATCATCAAATGATCAAATCGCTCACGAAAAACTTTAAGAATTCCAAAATACCCTTTTCCTCGTTCTGCTCGCACAACCCAACCCAAGCCGGCCCGAGAGAGGATAAATTAATGGAGCTCTTGCGATCAACAATGGAGATGTAAAGAATCAAGCTTGGAGCTCATGATTTCAGAATAATAAGCACATAAAAAACGCGAGAAATGGAAGAAAGACGAGGACTGTGTGTGCAGTGTGTGCGCAGTGCTTGCTCGGAGCTTCACTCATTACCTCAACAAGACAACCGATTGCATTACCGAATAAAAAAATAAAAAATAAAAAAATGGCGAATATAAACGACGACCGCAATTCGTAACTGCCAGCGGTGACGTCATTTTTAGATCCGACGGGCCACGATGGCCGGGTCTCGAGAACCGATGGATTCGGATGTTGAGTGGAAAGACTAAAGTGACCCGGTGTGGGGGTCCACGCGGTCTGCCGTGGACTGACACGTGTATTCGTGAAACCGCTGGTGCGATGGACGGCTGCGATTGAATGTTTGTTATTAATCCTACGGGCAGAAGAAAATTGGAGGAAAATGAAAATAATGGGCGATTTTCAGTTGGGATATTTGTGCAGGTTGGCGTGAGGATCATGAGCGTTGCGTGTTATCGATTGCTGAGACAAAGGTGAAATGACTATTGTAACCTTTCTATTGATTTTAACTAAGAAATCATTTACTTAATATGGAGGTATTATTCAATATGGAAAATTATTCCAAAATCCCACTCGTATTCATCGGCGACCGAGATAACTCGGCAAAAGCAACTCACCACCAACATGTTTCTTAACAAAATTAAAATCAAACAATTAGAATAATTTAAAAATGATAGTATATAATAACAGTGAAATTTTTAAAAATGATATTATTTAAAAACAATAAAATATTGATTCCGTGGTAGTTACAAATTTATAATATCTAAGTATAAGTATGAATAGTGTTGTTTGTTGGATAATTTACCATAATAATTATCTTTTATTTTTCAAATATGTTAGTGAAATTAATAATAGTTTTTTTTATTATTTTTTTTTAATTTCAATTTAAGTTTTCAATGTAATAAATATTAGCTGAACAAACAAAAACAAAAAACATAAAATATTGTATCCAATGCAACCTATTTGATTTTATTTTTATACAACAATTAAAAAATTCCGAGAAATAAAGGTATATAAACTATCGCTCTAATACTCCTTTAAAACAAGTCAGACAAGTTACTCAGACACAACATCTTTTTTAAGGTAACAACTTGAGGTAACAACTTCATGAACTGCATCTCACCCCACATCCAAGTTTCTTGATTTTGAAAAAAATAAAGAAGTATGAACACATTTTTTAATTTTATTATTTATTTGGTTTTATTATATTCTTTTTTTAGTATATATTTTATCCTTAAAACTATTTCATACAGAAATTAAGTTTACATTTGTTTTATCAATTTTATTATTTATTTAGTTTTGATATATATACATATAAGTTGAAATGTTGATATATTTTATCTAATGAATTTAGTTAATCTTTTAAAAACTAATTTAACATTTTATTTTGTTTACATTAGTCTTCTAAAAACTACTTTATTATTTATATTGTAACTTTCTACTGATTTTAACTAAGAAATAATTACATAATATGGAGGTATAATTGAATATGGAAAATTGTTCCGATCTCCACTCGTATTCATGGGGGACCTAGATAAATCGGCAAAAGCAACTCACCACCACCATGTTTCTTACAAAATTAAAATCAAACAATTAGGATAGTTTAAAAATGATATGAAATAACATTGAAATGTTTAAAAATGATATTATCTAAAAACAATGAAATATTGATTAGGTGGTAGTTACAATAATAATTATCTTTTACTTTTCAAATATGTAGTGAAATTAATAATAGTTTTTTGTAATTTTTTTTTCTAATTTCAATTTAAGTTTCAATGTGATAAATATTAGCTGAATAAACAAAATAAAAAAAAAAACATTGTATCCAATGACAACCTATCTCAATGAATTTGATTTTGTTTACACAAGTTATTTGCACTGAAAAAAAAAACAAAAAAATAAAATATTGTATCCAATGACAACCTATCTCAATGAATTTGATTTTGTTTACACAAGTCATTTGCACTGAAAAAGATGATTGACATGTGTCATTTTTATTTGCATTTAGAGTGATTTTCGTGTCTATTTTATCGTAGTTTGATATATATTATTATTTATTTAATTAATTTTATTAAGATATAACAGAAATGTTTTATTTTGAGTTTTGATAGAAAATAGGATTGGAGATAATTATTAAAAGCGAAAACGGCGAAAAACGGACGATAAATGAATAAGAATAATATACTGGGACGAGCCCATAATAAGTGTGTCTGAGGCCCATTTTATTTGTTTTTGTTGGGCCAAACAATCTGCCCATCAAGGCTAATAAAACTAGCGCAAACAACTATTTAAGTGGGGCATGTTGGTCATTTCAAAAATCAAGATTAAATGTTGTCATCTCCTTCATCACTTCCACGTGAGATTTCCGCCATGAATGAGTAACAAGTTGTGCACTGCTCTTGCATCACGTCGATTTGCCGCCGGTAGATAACCGGAGACCGACCATACGTCGTCCAGTCGCCTCACAGTTCACTAAAGGTCGACCAGAGCCACTGTTAAATATGTAAATATTGAGATTGTACTATAGATTAGGATTAGGCTAAGGCCCATATATGTATCTATATATATGTGTACTTCTCTTTGTGAATAATACAACATATATTTTTCCCACAATCTCACATGGTATCAGACTAGGGTTATATATATTCTCTTGTGGGTTTTCGTTTTTCCGTTCATCTCCGGCCGTCGTTGACTCTCACCGCCCCGACCATCTTCTCCGTCGTCCACCGGCGACCAACCGCCGAAAATTTCAGGCCGATCGGCGGCGCGTGGGCCCCACACGCGCCGATTCTTTGCGACGGCGCCGGCAGCTCTCGCCGGCGCGTGAGGTCCACTCCGGCGTCCGATTTCTCCCGTTTTTCAGGCGTTGACTCGTCTCGTCGTCGGCTACCTCCTGGTGTGGTCGGTTTTGGTTTTCGTGAACTTTTTATTTCCTCTATTTTTGTGCTATTTTGACGGTTTCGTGATCCGATTTCTGCCTATATTTTCATCCGT